AGCTTTTGCATGCATGGCAGTGAGTGATAAGCATTCCTCAAAGAAATGATATTTTAAAAACCTTTGCCTTCTCCCTGAATGTGGTTTTATTTCATTTTTATCTGAGACGTTTGTTCCACAACCTGACCGGTTTGTATGTTTCCTGATCTGGTGGTTATCTTCATGTTAAACGTCATCTCTTACAATAAGATAAGAGGAAATATGAACATCTTGGTGGCTTTCTTTGGTTTTATAAAGTTTAACATCTTATTAACTCCGTGTTTAAAAAACCCACTAACAGTGGAGATGTCACTTCATGAAATAACACAGACAGAACACAAAAGCTCCTAAAACATTATATTAAGCAAAGTGTGTGTTTAACAATTTTAAATGAAACGTTAGAAAATTAAAGGATAAAACTCTTGTTTTTTTCCTGTACTGATGGGATTGATACTTTACCYTTTATATTATTAGCTCACTGTTAATCCTTCAGAATGCTTTCCCAAAATAAAAACCAAGTTAATAACTTTAACAGAAACTCCCTCACCAACTTGTGATGTTTAATCATTTCCTTACAAACTGAACACAGACATTTGCTTAAGTATAATGTGAGAATATTCAATCAATCATCAGAGTGAAAATTATTGCTACTTTTTATATAAAAAAGTAAAACTCCTTGAATTTAACCAAAGTGTTTAGTTGTAGAAAAAACCTCAGGGGAGGTATGACAGTCCCAACAAAACCGAAAACAAAATCAGCTGCAGAGATAAAGATGACTCTCCTCAGTGGGAGGACTGAGATTGTTCACAACATCCCCCTAATGAGACAGGGTTTGGCTGGCTGGGTACAAATATTTATAGAAAACAAGTTATCTGGAAATAACAACACAGAAGTGTTAGACTAATTTCTATAGAATCGAAAAGGTTTACTGACGGAATAAATTTTTTAATTAAACTTTAAACTGTAATAATCTAGTGATGAAAACAGATTTTATCAGTTATTTTTTGTGTTGGCTGATATCTATTAGCTATAGCAGCCATGTTAAATTAAATGGATCTAAACATTAATCAATTGTAGATATGCATCTAGAAATTAACTTTAGAGCTTTTTGTTAAAAATAAATGTGATGGTTGTTAGATATTTTGCTAACAGACAGAGCAGAAATGGCAACATCTCGAATTTCTCACAGTTTGTAAGTGACCAGAAATTTTGTTGGAAAACAAGTCACGGCAGATTTTAGTTCAATATCTGTGAAATTGCCTGAGTTACAACCATTCTTGTGTTTTTCAAGGACATTTGGAGGTGGCAGCCATCTTGAATTGGGTCAAGTCTTAGAGAAAACATGACTACAAATTAGAATATTTCCTAAATAAATATTGGAAATACCAGTTTAATAAATTTAACGGATGAAAAGTAAATACATTTTGCAAATTTTCAAACTTATAGACTAGGTTAAAACACGTTATAACAAGCCTTGGTCTGCATTAATACTGTATACTTTAATGACATCTTTCAGCAAACACACACACACACACACACACACACACACACACACACACACACACACTCACACACACACACTCTCAAGCACACATTTGGTAAAGTGAGAAGGGGAAAGCATAACAGGCAGA